TTGAAAGTAAGATGAAATCAAATAAATGCCTTTTGAAAAGCTTGGCCTTCCATGGCTTTGAAATGCATCTTTGATAAGGTCCTGTAACTTGGATTCCTTTTCCTCCCCCCCCCCCCCCCCCCCTCCTGAACGAGGCATGATCTCAGCAAGGGCCACGGGTTCTTTATAGGCCCTGAAATGACACGCATCCAGAGTTCAGTCTGCGGTAGTGAAACAGTCGATATATGATCGGAGGGACGGTTGATTGCACCTGGACCGGCCCACTGTACTTGCTGAAGTCATTTTTCCATACCTCGGAGCCCCAACTAACATCTTGCAAAAGCCACACAATCTTTTTTTTACCCCCTCCAAAACGAATAAGACCGTGATTCTGAAATATCATTGAAGATGGGCACTGTCCCCTGATCTTTTTTTAATGTGTTTTGGTCTTTAGAACTGGCAATGAGACGCTTGTTGGCTTTGGCACAGATTCCCGCTGTTACGTTCATAAAATAGCTCACCACGCTCTTCCTCTGTCCACTACAGTAATATCCTATAAAAACAATGCTGAACTCATTGTAGGTGATGTTAAAATATCACAGCGTCTGCTCAGCTAATTCATCTTTTAATACTAAATAATTTTACGTCTGGTTGGCAATGTCGCTACAGTCAAATGGTCACTTAATCCATATAACCAATGTCCTCTCTGATATTCCATTCTCCTACAGTACATTGTACTTTGGTTGAAAGGCATCAGGCGCTGGTAGTCCTCAGGACAGAACAGAAGCTCTTAGGGGGCCGTGGGCTGATGACATATCAGCTCAGTGTTGGCTGTGAACAAGGGCCCCTAAACACTTCTCCTTTTGTTTGGCACTCCACTCGGGTTAAATCCATCTTCCCACCCACTGTCCGTCTAGAGTTTCTCCCATTGGACCAAAATGTGTTTACATTAGTGCAAGAGTCATCATCGCCGTAGTTGTTATTTCTTGCTGTTGCAGAGAGCCATCAGCCCCAGTTCTTCTATGCTGTTTCTTTGCCTTTTGTGTCTTTAGGTCTTCTTCAGTATGTGTATCTCAGATATTGTGTTCCTTTTGCTTTAATTAGTTGCCCTCTCTGCTCTCAGTCTGCCTTTTCTAAGCTTTAGGCAGCCTTTCCTCCTCTCTAGGACGGAGAATAAGGAGGTAAATCAAGACTTGAGTGGATTAGGCTTCAAAGTCTGCAGCTGCTTCTCTTACCGCCACCCCTGTCTGCAAATGGCCCCTTGCACGTTCACAATGCCATGTTTGAAATATTGTCCTTCTCAGAAAGCCCCCACAAGTTGTCACAATTCTCTTCCTCCCACAGTCTGGTGATCCTCATAACTATCGTGCCTCTCTATATGTTCCTGAAAGATATATGAGGGAGGTCAATAACTCATTCGGCACACGGGAGAAAGTGCAGGGGAAAGAAATTGAGTCGAAACCCAACGTTCATTTCCTGTATTCGAAAAAGTTCATTTTCACCAGGCAGACAGACAGTTTGTCTTTCTGTCTTTAGTCCAGTTACAAGCTGAGAGTGGGGTCCCTGAGTATTCGTGCTGTGCAGTCCAACATGTAATGTTATGGACACACGCATACGTTTGTCTCCCAGAACATGATGCATATCGTAGCATTTGAGTAAACATTGGCAAAGTTACAGTGTCATGGCGAGGGTCATAATTAACACTCTGTGTTGCTAGATTAATCCCTGTAATTTCCTCGTCTTGCACTGCTCTAAAAACCCTCCAAGGTTGTTGACCTATGAGACTAGCAATTTGACTCATATCATGTTTAATGCATTTCATTGTCTGGGATTTTTTTGTTGTAGTTTTACATAAAAGGAATCTGAGCAAAACACTGTTATTTTCTGTAACCGCTGTTGAGGTGTGGGCGTGAGAGGGGAAGTGCTGTTTGGCAGTTAGAGTGGTCACTTCCTCCGTACCGGAAGCTTCGAAGGCTCTGGCCTCTCCAATTTCTCTGCAGACTGTTTCGGCCACCCTGTGCAACATCATGCCGGTCTTCAGGACCACTGGGTTGGGCTAGCCACAACAGAACAGTGGTCCTCAAGACATTGCCAGGTCGGCTACACACAGCTGAAGCATGCAAGGGTCCAGAATAGTCCGGCCAAAACAAATCAAATGAATCCAGACCAGCCCTGCAAGAATCAAGTCGGTCAAACCTTTAGTGGTGAAGGGTTGGCGCAATCATGTTCCCTTTCTTCTTTTTCTTTCCCCCTCTCTCATTTTGTCTCCCACTGTCTGTGCTGGACACGGTTTCTGATGTTACAGAACCATACATGTGTCCATACATCTGGCCCTGGATTTAGTTCTCTTTCCACATTTTATAGTGTCCACATGCAGGGATTTGACCACCACTGTGGTTGCACGTTGGCTCATTTCCTTTCTCTCTCTCTTTCTGCCTACATGTCTCTTGCTCGCTTGTCCACCCATACATTCTTACATTTAATTTCAGCTTTGCAGAGTCCTTGTTTAGCTCTTGGCCTCTCTACAGTTCTTTCTGCTGTTGTTTGAAACTGAGTCACCTTTTGGTTCACTGGGTTCGGCCTGACATAGTGACCCCAGGAGGCGAGCACAGTGGTAGCTTTATCTTTTTCCCCCATTATGTAATTATTCCTGATAAACTCATGGAGCTGATGTGTTTCCCATAATGTGCTATTGGCGCACAACACACAGTCTGTTTAGATTTTTCCAGCGTAAATAGGAAGGAATTGTTGTCAGAAGAAATAAAGAATTGAATAAGTGAGAGTGTAGACAGGAGACTTTGCACCTGGGGAGAATCATGCTTAGGGACTCTCACTCTCGCCTTCCCTCCCTCGCTCCCTTCATCCACTCCTACTGGTATCTCAGCGCTGCCAATAGTAATGACATTACCATATCTCTTCCCCCCCACTCTCACCGCCTTTCCTACACCCCTCACCTCATCCCATGTCTCTTTAAATCTTTTTTTATATATATTATGTGAGATGTTCTGTTGGGAGTTCCAAGTTGTAAATGATTTGAGGGAGCCAGCTGCCCTCAGGCAGGGCTTGCGTTAGCTAAAAAGCTACAAAGTTTCTGGTGATGAGGACCCCAGAACCAGGCGTCGGATGATCACATACCAGGGCAGATATCACACACCCAGCTTGAGTAAAACCACGGGGGGCTAAGTAATGACAAGTGCACATGTGTTGTGCGTAAACCTTCTCTCTTGTTCAGTGGCTTTTCCTCTCCTTCTTTCTTAACCACAGAGCTGCTGTTGGAGCAGTGAAGTATGAGGCGCCAACACTGCACGGAATCGGTGTTGCGAGCTGGAGAACAGGGCAGGATATGATCTTGATGTATCCTGTGCGTTTACTCAAAGATCACTTAAACCCCAAATCACCTCCAAATGGAAAGCAGAAGGTTGAGAGTGGCAGATGACACTCCATCTATCTGACTGCCCGGCAGCAGGGGCATTTGACATGAGCTAAAATAGTCAGCCGTGGCTCTCCCGCCAAGGGGTCTGAGCTGCCAGCACACACTTTCTCTAACCCAGTCGGAATGCCCGCCAGTTCAGTCAGCCAGTCATTCATTCAGCCAACGACGTCAACCATTGTTTTCAATCAATCATTTTCAGCTACGAATTACTCCAGTTGCGTCTGTGGTGCCTTTTTCCCTCCCTCCTTCCTCTCCTTCACTCTGTCCTCTGATGAAAGACGTTCTCAGAGAGGTAGCCAAGCTGCTCAAGTTTGTTTTGACGTTTCAATGGCTCCGCCGTGAACGTGTTTAGAGTTCCTTCACATGATCAGTAGTAGTTCAAAGACGTTTAAGCACCGTGTGGTTGTGTTTGAATCTTGGGGGGCCTTTTCTGGTGCATTTATAAAGGGGTCTTTGATGCATATAAGCCAGCTTGACTGCACTCGGTACGGGCCTGACCTTTAACGTATCCCCTGGCTTAGTGGATCACAGTCACCCTGAAGACCAGAACGGAGCAACAAACAAGTATCTGCTACTTCTCTCCATCAGTTTTGCTCCAGGACTCTGTTGTGTTTGGAACACACCCCGCTCACTCGCTGGTTTTGTGCTCTCCCTCTCTCTCTGCTTAGTGCTTCAACTCCCTTCTGCTTAATCTTGAAACCATCAGCTCCCCAGTTTGGCTGTGTATAAATTGAATTTGAAATAGCAATTTCTTTTATATGCCAGGTCAGTAAACTCCAAAAGAGCTGACAGATTTCAGAAGGTTTTGTTTTGATATAATTCACATTCAACTACGGGGACCAATGCACCCTGTTTCTCTCACTGTCAACAACAAACCTTGCTATGGTGATGACTTGATGACATAGGCCTGCATAAATGCAAATGTCCACTGTCCTTCTGAGCTCATGACATCAACTAGCTGGGAAAGAGACCGGCCACATCTGCTTAATTCACTATCCTCCAAATTCAGTGCAAAACGTTATTTAAGAACATTTAAAAATCCCTTTTTTCCTTTAAATGTGCACAACAGCCACTTAGATTTCAGCCTGATATTGTGCGGAACTTCTCTTTAGCAAACACAACTTGATTGTTTGCAGGCAATAAGGATGCGTTGCTTGAAAGCCTTGAAAGATATGTGTTTTATTGATATAATAAAAAATAATAATTAGCATTGAACCTTTCAATAGGTGGACTTTTTAGATGCCTAACGAGGAGTTTGTGGAGTTGTTTCTCATTGGAGACGGCAGTGTTCCTGAAACAACGGGAAAGGCTGGGACAATGGTGGGAAGCAGAGGCTGGGGGGGAAATGCTATATTGCCTCTATGTTTCCTTTTTACTTCCAGTGACCAGAAGAACAGCGTGTTTTGTCTGTATTTCTGGGCAAACCACCCATAGAAAAAACTGAGGTGTATGTGTGTGACAAAAAAAATACCTATTAAGGTGAATTCTTACAATTGCATGTGTTGTCTTGTCTGTCTATGTATCTGTAATTCTGCACACTATGTTCCTTTACCACATTCTGATTCTGTTTCCTCTTCCCCGTCCGCAGGTCTGTACGAGCTGCTGGCCTCTCTGCCCTCTCAGCTGCAGCCCCATGTCAGCCGTCCTGAGGACAACACCTTCCTCCAGGACATGTTTGGGGAGCGCAGCCTGCACTCGCTGATCAAGGTAAAACAAAAAAACTCCAACCTTTTTTTTGGAGTTATGGGTTTGCTTAGTGATTCAGTTAAGATGTGTTTCAGTTTTAATAGCCACGTTGCTAATGCTAGAACACTGCAGTTGTCAAAAGGCAAATTCATATCCATCATAGTGTAGAACATTATTGCACATCACATCATTTAATTAAATGTGTGAGATTTCTCTTATCGTGCAATTTATTTAAAATAATTATATCTGGAAATTCTTACTCAACAGACAGAAGTTCCCTTCACTGCAGAATGCAAAAAAATGCAAAAATGAGGTGGATTCAGATAAGCAGACAAAATGTGTCTTTTTCAAATCATAGTAATACATCAAAAAATATGAAATGGTAGGGGGGTTGTTAGAGCCTCAGGCTAGACAGACGATATATGTCTTGACACAGGATCTGGAACCCCATGAAATGTAACTCTGTCTCCGTTACCCACCTTTACAGTCACATCCTTCCTCTCACGGGGTGGGACAGAATCCAAACTCCATCTCCTGCGACCCCCGGCCTTGAGCCGACCTCTCCTATTCACATAAAAACACACGTTTAAAAATACTCAATTCGGCTTTATTCAAACTCTTTCCGTGCGGTCTCATTCATACATTACTTCGTTTATTGTCATTCCAACAGTCTACCCACCCAGATCTTCTAACTCTTTCTCTGCCAGCGTGAATTGGCCTGTGGTCCGATTACTGCCTGTAAAACTAGATAGCTGCAGCGTTTAGGGAGAAGATGAGCACACTTGATATCTTTATACAGTACGCTGGCAGACAGGCCGAAGTAATGAATGTAACACATTCTGTCTGTCTGCCCCAGTCCCATCTTCACTTGGGGTTTCTCTGCAATCGGCAGCCAATCTCTTTCTCCTTCTCCTTCTACTGTAAAAAGGAACAGGAGGGCTTTTGTACTTTAAACCAGCTTGTTTGTCAGTCACTATTCAAACCACTGCTTCAGATTTGTTTCTCTCGTTCACTGATGTAATGCTTTGCTGTCAATTTACATAGAAAACACTCATTGTTAGAGCTACAGCTAACGGTATCCCCTTGTTAATGGTCTCCATTTTAAAAGAATGCCCAACTCTATTTTCATATGCTGGCTTGATATATTTCCCTCTTTGGTGGTCTCCCTTTCTCTCCAGCCAGAATCATTATGTCACAGAGACGATTGAGAGAGAAAAATTGAAATAATTTTCATCCCCTCCCTTTTTAAGAAATCCTTTCTGTGTAAGCATGTTTGTTCAGGATCCAAGGTTGTTATGCGCAAATGTGAGCGTGTAAAAGTGCCCGAATTATGGCATACCTCAGACTCTGGAGCAAAACCCTGATGTCAGGACTTTAGGAAACCAGAAGGATTTTATTTGATGCCTGGATTGTTATGGATGGCCAAAGAATAAGGCCTCTTGAACATGGATAATGATGGGCAGGGCCTGCGCATGTTCAGGCTCTCATTCTGGCCGGCCCCAAAGAAAACACTGCTTAGTGTGGGGCAGATAGAATCATGCTAATGAAGGTGGCATTATGTTTCTGGGATATTTAGCCAGGCATAAGGGTGGAGTGCCCAATTTACCTAGCCCTCTAACCACTCCTGATTATACCTAGGTAAACTTTCAAGAGGAACATAAAGGGGAGAACGTGTTAGTGCTGTTGAAGCAAAAGTGCATGACAGGCTCTTTACCTGATGTGTTGAAAGCTATGCACCAATGGCTTTTTGAAATATTTTTGGAAAAAGGTTATAGGCTGCACATCTGCTCTGCTCCATTGAGAATAATTCAGAATCAGAATACCTTTATTCGTCCAACAGAGGGGAAATGTACATTGTTACAGCAAAAGTGAAGATAGAGACAAAACAACTAAACACTATTAGATAAAGGAAGAATTGATGAGAATTGGATTCTTAGATACTGAATATGTGGAGGAAACCCAAGACCAGAGGGATTAGATAACCCATCGGCCCTAGGATCCCCTTAGAAGTCTCCGGTGGAGCAGGAGAAATTAGCTAGGTAGAAGTAGTTACTGTTGGATCTTGGAAGCAGTTGTCCCTATTCCATCCTGTTCTTTTTGTTTTGTTTGAACGGCCTTAGGAAGCCCAACAAATTGAGCATTTTTAGGGTTAAAAGCTGAAATATCAAGTGTAAGTGTGTGCTAGTAAGTGTGTGGATGAAAGAACAGTTTAATGCTAAACCCAACTCCCTGTATGCCGTCCTGAAATCTGAATACAACTTTGTTTATGTGGTAGAGGGACACTGAACGTTTCTCACATTGGGCGCCATCTCATTACGGTTCCGTAGGTATAAGTTAATGCAGCTAATTCACCCAATTCACTTTTGTTACTGTAGCTGCGAATATTATACAGTTATCTGGCTACCGCAGCCACAAAATGATGAGTCATTATAGCATCAAAGAACCACATTTTCTCACCACAATGAGCCCGTTTTGAACTTATTTTCGTATTCTTCCTTTTTATTCAATGGAGAGAAACCGAGCTGCTTTTAGCGTCTCTTATCGTTAACGTGGAGGCATAAGTGGAAAGTGCCCCGCTCCAGACAAGCAGAACTATGTGTTTCCTCTGCTTTCTACTTGGTACTGAGATGTGAGCCAGCCTGTCAGCTAGTGAGCCAAACGGAGAGACAGGCTGACTTTGAAACACACACAGAAGAACAGAACAACCATCTCGCCTTACAGCTAAGACCAGCACTCAGACCCAACATTCAGGTGAACATGGCTAATGTCAGTGGCACACCATTAATAAAAACCTTAATTGTCCCCTTCCTCTTAAGCCCCACCACCAAATCTCTACAGGTTCCACCTTATATTCCACAAGGCTGTGAAGGGGATACTTTGGGAATGGCTAAACAGCAGAGAGAAAACACACACATCATGTTAATCTGACAGGCCCGGCAACCCAGGTCTCTCATATGGAAACGCTCAAGCCTCACCTGGGTAATTATGAAGCATCGGTTACTGGTCAGTCTGTCTGGAGGGACAGAGAAGTACCAGAGGAAGAGGTGTCAAAGATGGAAAGAGAGACAAGAAAGAAGAAGACCTACATGAAGACCTTAATCAGACTTAGGTTCTTTGTGTCTCTCCTCACCTGTCCTCATCAGATAGTTGGGAGAGCCTCTCATGTCCCTCCTAATCCTATTATGTCACAAAGACGAAACAAATATTTTCTAATATCATCTTTCAGCAGGTCCCGGCTCCCAAGTTCGCCTCATTTTGCAGACCGGTGCGCCATCAGTGCTGACATGTAATGCGAGTGCTGGCGCGTATAGCTAGCATGGCTAAAACGACGCAGACAGTTCCCCTCTTTTCAATTAAAGGGAGTTACTCAAGTGTGCTTTCTCTAAATTCCACCACACTCACTGTTCCACTGCCAAGTTCCAGCTCAACAAAAAGCCACAGGAAATATAATACAATATTCAATTTCCACCTGCCTCAGGTGGGGCTCTCCTTAAAGACCAAGTTTCTGTCAGCAGGCCTTTAGCCAGGCCTCAAGATCCCTCATTTTGTGGTCAGTCAGTTTTCCCTTAAATTCAGCTTCTGTTAGTTGCTAATAGGCTTGGCACTTGCCACATTGTAACACAGCAACATTGATGTGGGCTTGCCAGTTTGTTCTTCAGTGCTGCGGGCCTTTAACGACATGTAAAGGTGCTGCAGCTAACGCTTGTACCCAGATGGAAAGTTTCAGCTATTTATGGTAAATTAGCTCATTTTCAGACAAACTGGACTGTATTCTTTGAGTACCAGACTTGGTATCCCATGAATAACTGGATCGCGCTCTAGGTAGCCTTCCAAGTTGTATGACTCACTCTGTAATGTCCGTCCACTCTTGTCCTTGACAGCAACCATAGACTTGCTCTTTGGGCAGTTATCTTAACCTTTCTACTACTCAAAACATGACTTGCCCCTTGCCAGGCATTAACCATGAAGATCACAAAAAGAAAATTGTTCTAAACTTCTCACCCGGAGTCCTTTAAGCCTCACACCCTGTACTCAGAAGAAAAAAAAACTGGCTAATTGTCTCTGGTTCAAGTCTAAGCCTGTAAACCTATACCACCTCAGAGATCCACTTGTACTGTCTGTGGTCCTCACGTCCTGTGCACTCTGAGGTCTCTATTTATTATTCTGGGGGAACAGGAACCCTCGTGAGGAGTTGAGCAAATACCTTCAGGCGGCTTTCGAAAAGCGAGCTTCTATCCTTAATAATAAAATGATATTCATGTTCATACATCTATGTGTACATTCTTCTATTCTTATTCGGTATGGTAGTGATTGCAAACTTAAGAACTCTGCAATTTGTTGCTAGAAAAATCTTCTTTCTGACACAAGCCAGGTGGTTATTTACAGTTTGAAAACCTCCCCTCCCTTGCAATTTTTTACTCTGTGCTAAGGCTACCTTCTAAATATCTTTCTAGAAGTTTAAAAGTCGAATACAGCATTAAGTCAAAAGATCATTCTTAATGTCCACAAACAAGCTCCTTTGAGTTGAGCCAGAAGAGCTAGACGAATAGACGAAGGATGAAGCCAAAGGGAAGGTTGTGATAGGGACAGAGGTAAAGAGGGAGCAAGCTTCTTAGTGCAGCAGACAGATTGCAGTATGGCCGTTTGACTGCTGAATAAAACTTTAAAATCATTCAATTGAACCATGTCTGGAGCAATGGGGGGAAAGTGAAAATGAGAGGAGGTCTAAAGATACACTAGCCCCCATTCTATCAGTCAAATGTCCATATTGGTAATCAAGGAGAATCTCTGGAGGGATACCACAACCATTATTCTAGGTCACTTTGGTTGATTCCGTATGTCTAAGGAATAAAAAGGACTCAAAGTGAAACCAGAAGGTTTAGACGATACGAAGCCAATCTTAATAGGACATGGAGAATACGAGCAATACGCAGAATATGGAAAATTAGGTTCATAGTGCCATATAGTGTATTTATCACTCCCATATGGCCTGAGAACTGCCTGCAAACACAAAAGGCTCACCTGGAGCTTTTAAAGTTAGTCTTCACAATTTTATATATTGATTTGACTGCCTGAAAATAACCCAAATCAATCTGATTTAGTAAGTCAGATGCATTTGTCCTGGCTTTATGCCCTTACATATTCAGAATACTTTTCCTGAACGAATAGCTGCTATACTTCACATGAATGAGTCTCTAAATTGATCGATTCACTTGGTGATGTTTTTGTAAAAGTTGGAGCTTGCAGTAGGAATTTCAGCTGTGTCTCAAGGCGGTCGTCGTATGTAGACAAGTATGACTGTGTCCTGCACTGTACTGGCCTCAAAACATACAGAGCGTCTATGGAGGTGTGTCTGGGGCCTCTCTGCTCCTTTTCCAAGAGCTCCAGGAGGAAATGTATCCTCTATCTAAGTGATGTGGCTGTCATGACTTTTGGCCAGCTGCCTTGGTCTCTCTCTGTCTCGTCCTCTGTGTCCACTGCTAGTTCTTAATTACCTGTCACACTCTCCAGGCTTTTTCCACAACAAATGAGAGGCAAGCTTATTCGCCAAAACTGCTCTGTATGGGGTCTTGGTAAAGGAAAGGTAGATTTTCTGCTCAATAATGTGAGGACATTTGCCCATTAATCAGTAGATGACCGTCAATGCTCTCCCAGGTACCCGTTTCAGAATTAGAATAATTTCAATTGGCCTGATTATAATAAAAAAAGTTCATCACATTTATGTGGAAGGGGGTGCATACTGACAAGATCTTAAACTCTTGCCATGTAGAAATTGACATTGACAGAAGAAAATGCTGAAAACCAGCCTCATACTGGTGTGTGGTTTATCCAACTAAATAAAAATCTACATTTTTGTAGATCAACCACCATACAACATTGTCTGAGAGGAGATATTCTGGGAGGTGCATGCATAACATATGTGCTGCCCTTCTGTGTGAGCTTGGTTACTAATGGCAATATTAACTAGATGCTGTGGTTTTCTTTATCTGCTTCTTGACGACACTGGTTTTAATTACATTGTTGTAAGGGTGAAATTGTTGGTTGCACCCTTAACAGGCTGATGGTGAATGGTACTGTCATCTGCAGGATTTATTCATAAACAACAGCACAATATCCAGGATCTGATGCCCTCATACCAGGGGATGAAGCCAGTTCTTTGTAAGCTAACCTACCGTAACAGAAGAAAATATATATATTTTTCTCTTTTTCCCTTGAGTAAACATATCATTTCACAGCTATTCCAGCTGCAACCCTGCACGTCTGCCTGTAATTCCCCCTTCCTGACTCCTTAACTTGATCTACTGTACCATGCCACGGTGCCTTGACAAGGTGTTCTGGATCTGACCAAGAGATCGGACCCTGGTGGATCAACGAAGGCCTGATATTAGCCATATACTATATCTATGGGGGGTTGATATAGAAACAGGAGGGGAAGAAAGATTGTCAACCCTAACTGGTCCGACCCGAAGTGTTCTGGGCAGTGGACATTAACCAGAAGCCTTGAGCCTCTTTGCAGAACTTGAAAACAGAAACACTATACAGCGCTGTGCTCTCCAGACCTCTCTTTCTCCTTTCTCCATCTATCAAACCTTTGCACTTTTGCACGCTGTCACCCTCCTTCTGTGCCAGACATCGGTTGCTGTATTGTGTCCGAGTTGATGTTTGTAAGGTAGCTTTTAAACCCGGCTTTATTGATACCTACAGTATATGTTGAGAGCCTAGGATTGGACAGTCGTTGTTCTTACCGTTGCATGTGCTTTAATCCTTAAGAGAGCATAAATACAGATTAAATTGCTGAGTTTTAATACTAAGGGTTTCTGATCCTTTACCTTAACAGTGATCCTTAGCAGGGATTGGAGCCCCTGTCCAAAGATGATGAAGATGGATGCTATGTTTGTTTTCAAGTCCATCCTTGTTGGAATTCTTTCATATCAATTCTTACCAGTGTCGGTTTTTTTCCTTTAAAAGTTGTTGCTGTGTGTATTTTAAGCCTGCAGGGTATTCCTGGAAGCAAACACAACTTAGTCTGAGGCCTCTGTGGAGACAGCACTCACACTGCTCCTTTTGTAGCATTTTTTTCTTAAGCTTCAGTGAAGGTGCACATTCATTCATCTTTTCTCAGCTCCTACTTCAGGGAGCTTTCCTCCCTGATTTGTAAGCATTTGGATCCTGTCTCTACTGCCTTATTTTACATAGAAGCAGCATGCAATACATTTTTCATCTGAGAAGCTTCATAATCCCAGTATTTGATTCGGGTATGTGTCCAGGAATCAAACTCTGGTTTGTGCTAAAGCCTCTTTGGCTGTACAACACTGTCTCTCACGTTTTTTCTTTTTTGGGCCAGGCCACTTGGCATTGCTGCCTCACCAAAGGGACAGAGAACGTTTGCAAAAAATTGGGGTAATGACTTTTAAATGCATTACTGCGTCATGGACAGGCACTTGGAAAGTGTCCTGAACTGTAAATAAAAGCATTTCAATCTTGCATTTGCTCACCACGCAGGGAAGACATTCCACAGTAACTAAGTAAGTTGAGGTGGTGGAGCAACAACTACCTAAGCAGATGTCACTAGGACTGCGGTATGCTGGAGGGCTGAAGACACTGGCAACCTCACGTTTATTTCATCTGTTTTCTTACAAAGCTGATCAGGACAGATGAAGTAACCGGAGCTGCCTGCCTGGCTTTTTACAGCCTTCTTTTGCAGACGGAGGAGTCAGAGCAAAGGGTGGAGTTGTTGGGACTTCATGAACAGTACAGAGTAATTGTTCAAATATGACGTGGTTATGTGAAATTAAACAGATGAGGATGAAAATGTCCAGGAAATGCCCTAGAGTGTCTGTCTTAAATGTGATGCCATAAAACATGGAACACACTGACAGCAGTTTAACCCAGTACCACTTAAACAGTGGAGTCTACTCAGGCTTATAAGTGCTGCATTCCCCTCTTTTTTTTGTATATCTGTCCCTTGCTTTATCTCTACTCATGTATATGTACCTGCACCTCTTATGAAGCCAATGTATTGCCTGCTATTTCCAACAACGTTTGTCTAACTTCCCTTCCAGTTGCAGCTTTCAGCACTCTACAGCCGACTAACCATCTGCCTCCCTCAGGCCTTCAGCAGATTACGTCCACAACGCGCCTAATGCACCATGTTTTATAGCCGAGTAATGTGGGCTTTACACAGGGATTTGAACCTCTCAGCTGACCTTGAAACATGGCTGCTCTGTTGGCTGAGACACAGTCCTAACAGGTCATGATTTATCACGTGAGAGTGTGTGGATAAGTCAAGCTGAAAGGGCTGTTCTTGTTAAAGGCCAAACAGTTGAGCTGGAGTTTTCACGAACCATGAGGGGCGTACGTGTGCAAAGACATTTGACACACAGTTGCTCCTGCATTCTTCTCACCAGAAAACTCCCTTTTGAATGCTAACACAAGCTACAGTATTGTCGTGATTGAGATCATAGTGGTGGATATCAATGACAACAACAAAGATTCAAATTACCATATCTGCACATTTTTGCTCAAAGAAGAGAGAAAAACATTTCCAGTGGGAATGCCATTAGAAATAACAGATGTTGTGATTATGTCATTTTAAAGTATACACAGAGCTGCTACTGCATGTAGTCAAAACATGTTTGTGTAGCGAAGATGTCAGTTCTTAAACAGATGTTTTAATTGCACACAGCATCTGTAGCTGCTCGCAAAGTGACGGCAAACAAACTGCTTCTCATGTCTCTTTCTGTTCTACAAATTGATTCTCTGTCACACAGCTCCTTCTGTGTGTGTATGCTCCCACATGTGTGAATTTGGCCCTTACAAATTACGAGTTGGCCCAGGGGCTTCTTCGTCACTCTCTCCCCAGCCACAGGGCCTTCTGTTCCACCATTGTGCTGGAATGCTGTGTGAGCCATCCAGCTGCAGGCTCCAGGACCGGGGCCCAGCTATCAGTCAGACCCGTGGCCTAGCTCAACCTTCACCCTGCTGGGCTGAGGAGAGACTCAGGAGTGGCTGTTGGGAGGATAGTCTCTGTTCTCTGATGGGACCTGACAGCAGCCTGTAGCCTGTCAACAAATTCCTGCACAGCTGCTCTCTAATGACAAATTAAATTGCTGTAGTGTTTTTTTCTGTGCGCGGAGGCTGGAGCACAAGCACGTTCCCGCGTGTAGAAATAATTCCATCTCCGCTCCACGTATCAGTTTTTTAAAGTGTTTTTGTGTGTGTAAATGAGTAAACGTTAACACAAGGGTCGGGCCTACTTTTCCTTTTTCGTGATTCTCCAGAGACACATCTTTGTCTCTCAACATTGTGCAGTTGCAGCGCTGAGGCTGATAAGGAAATGTTTAGCCAATTTAACCAGACTGTTGAAATGATTTGGAATCCTCAGGCCGCTGGGGCATATCAAATGCACGGTGGAAAACTGGATTGTTTGTACAGTGGCTAGGCGAGTTGAAATACTTAGAAGCACTCTGTTGTGCTCGGGAGTCTTGTGTGTGTGCAGTGTGATTGGTTGCCGTTTTGATCCACTGTGAGTGTGAGTAGAACATGGTGCGGATGGAGGCTGTACATGTTTTCATATATGTGTGCTTGTAGCAGTGCACATGGGTGTGTGTGCAGTCTCTGCTTTGGCGTGTGTGTGTTTGCTCGGAGAGGCCTCGTCGTGGCCTCTGCAGCCCAACATTGACCTCCCCTCTCTCTCTTTTCCCCCCCTCTTTTTCTCCCTTTTTTTGTTGCCCTTACTGATAAACGCAATCTGTCCTTTCAGATCCACGAGCAGCTGCAGCTCTCCGAAGAGAGCAAACCCGTCCCAGTTCTGGACAGCGCTGCTGCTCTGGCCCATGAAGTAAGTTCTTTTTTTTTCTTTGGAAGGAAGGCTTCAATTTATCGCATATTCAGATGGTTGACACATGAAAGGGAAAAGCATCATAAAGTGTCTGAGTGGTGTTGGGCCTCTAAAAGTGATGATCATCATTCTTCTAAAAACATCTGAATAGGTTCAATTGGGTTTAGTTTTGGTGAATTTAAAAGCAACACAATAGAATTAAGTTTCTGTACTCTAAAGTTTTCCTTTTAATTTGTCAACTGCCTAAACACACACTTTGTCTTCTCTGTCTTCCACGATCTGTCTAACTGTTTTGTGTTTGAAAAACAAAGCAAGCGTGATTTGCTTATACTCAAACCCACAGAGACTTTGTGAAGGCCGCGAGGTAGTCTGTCTTGTTCTGCTGTTCAACAGTTAGATGGTGTGCAGGTTGAGCTGAAAAAAACTTCACATCACAAGTGCGTCTTTATCTGTAACACACATACTCTCAACACCATCCCCAGTAGCGTGCAGTAGCCCTGGCACTGTTTCTCCTCTTTCACCTCTTACCCTGGAGTGAACTAAGACCTGTAACCCCTCAGTGCGTACTCGCTTACTGTTACAATAACACTACAGCACCCCTCCTCTGCGCCCACCACCTACTTGCCCGCCCACTCGTCGCCCAAACATCTAGCCATACACCACAAAATCGAAAATCCAGTTGCACCAAGGACAGGACCTATCATTTTCCCATGGCAAAAATCAGATGCAAAGGCTTCCATTTCAGTAACAAACTGAAGATGGATGGGCGCGAATGACAAACTAGATATGATTGTGAAGTTACATCATATAAACATAAATCACAGCATGAGATATTCCAATTTAGAGAGACAGGAAGCAATGCTCATGGCGTGCATTCCCTCTTCATTAATTAACCTCTTAATGAGAAGTCATCACACAGACAAAAATAGTACCAACAACACCACTGATGATGATTTTCTTCCATTGGCCCTGCCGCTCTTGCAACCTGTGAAAGATATTACGTCTGATTTATTGAGCCAGTGTCCTGACATTTGTTTCAGTATTGTTCAACTCCGATATTTATTGAAAGCCAAGTGTACACATTCAAGTGCCCCGCTCACATCCACATGTGCGCACACACACCTGTGTAAACCCAGGATCCAGCTTGGCACGGTCAGAGGAGGGGAGGAAAAGCCCTTTCACTGGTGTGTGGTTTTGTTTGAAATCCCCAGCTCTGTTTATTGTAATCAAAGTGCCTCCGACTATTCCACCCCTTCTAAAGATCCCGCAGCCATACATCATCCTAATTAGTGCAGAGTCAAGGGAAAGACGACCGAAACAGGGGCCGAAGTTTGTACAGTCAGTTGAGGTAAAGAACGAGGAGGAGGGAGACCATCACAGAGAAAAGACGTGTTCTGGTTTTTATGACCTTACAAGTGTCAGTGAAAGAGCCAGCAATGTTCCATCCTGGTAGGTTCGCACACGCCAATGCAAATGATAGGAGTCCCAACCAGGACCCTTAACCAAACCAGGATGGCCACACTTAAATCTGTCTGCACGATATTCCCAAATAGACATTTTATTGCTCCATTTCTGGTTGTGTTTCTGTCCTACCCTGCGTTTAGTCTCGGCAAGGAACACCACTAACCAGATAACACCAAAACAAGAATCCTGCCAGTAGCCAACAGAGTGGAAAGGATTGCTTCTGTTTCCTAAGACTTCACTCTGCTTCTTTATTCTGTGTTGAGAGGCCATACACTTCTCAAGAGACCCCCAACTATCAGCCTCCATCTTCCCCCTCCTCCTTGCAGATTTCCTTTCCCATAATTGTTTGTCAAATTACAGACTTTCAAATGTATGCTTCCTGGTGAATGCCCCGCAAAGCGTCTCCTTGGGATTATCAGGTATCGGAATAAATCCCAGAGAGTCTCGCAGCACACCACAATCTTGAGGCCCCCTCTCTTGGCTAGTCAAAAAAGCAATGTATTTTTAAAGCGGATTGTTTTTCAGCCGTGTCACCGCTCCAAATGAACACTATTGAAGTGGTGGCTAAGGACTAGAGTGCAGCAGGAGAGATCTACAGTTAGATGAAATTCATTTTGGGCTTAGGTTTCGGGTAATGGAGGCTTAATTTATTACCTAACATAAAATGACACTTCAACCCCCGTCTGCCCCCGGCTGCACTGTCTAGCGCACACAGCAGGTGACTGCCACTGCTCAAACAACCGCCAACACCGGCTGAAACACGATCGATAACGGGCCCAGGGAATAAGTGCTGTATTACAAACACATGAAGACATGTCGGGACGTGACTGCGCACACACTTTTATGGATGCACGTGCGTTTATTACCGCACAGTTTCTCCCCAGCCTTCATTAAGGATGAAATAGAAGCACTATTGCCTCATTGCGGAATGTAAGAATACCACTAACATTAATCAAAAGAGGGCAAATCAGTCTCACACGTGAACCAGCTCGATGTATGTCGATCCAATCAGTCTCTATCAATCGTGTTGAAAAGCAACACACGCTCTTGAACAGTAAGATGAATGCCAGCCCCTTGTTCCAGATCAGTGTGTCCATCGCTTGAACCGAGACTGTGGTGGCTGACTCGTATCCTTCCTACCTCAAAGCCTCCTTTTTCTCCTCTGGCCGGCTTCCCAACATCTTTATTCTCACCCAAATACGTGCTGTTACGTAGGAAGACCACTGGGTGCCATCAGAGGGCACAGTTCTATACATACTATAATATGTAGGAAAGAGACGGAGACTGGCAAACAGAGAAAGAGGGGGCTTTAATATAAATATGTCAGATTTGACTCTTAAGCAAATGATGGCGCCACAAGCCTTTGGTTGGTATCTTAAAATGTAAATAATATTTCTACCTTAGGACCATTTAACCTTTATGTTAAATAACGAGTTTAATTAGTAGATAGTCAGGACTTTTCATGATCATTTAACCCAAATTGTGTATTTTTATTGATTATGACTCATGTTATAACTGGAAATATTACTCTTGCTGTTTTAAAAGGCATACTGATTTATTTTACAAGTTCATTATCCCTGTGTGAATACAATCCTTGTAAATAAATAGTAGTTTACACACTAGTTTACACACTGTTTACACAAAATCTTCTTTTCTCTTAAAGTGTTAACAGTGTTCTTGCTTGAGAAAGCTGGAGCTGTAAATAAGCACCTGTTAGGTATTATAATAAATAGTTCCGCTGATATACTGCTTGTATTCTAAGATCGACCCTATTGAAAATACATTTGGATGAAACCGCTTTTTCCTTTCAGACACTCTTTAAATGCGAGTGAAATTCATTTTTATTCATTATTCTCTTTTTATTAATTTTTAAGCGAGTGAAAGCCAGTTATTTTTATACCATGACGCGTTAAAACGTTTATTGGAACCTATAAAATATAATAATAGGAAAACATCTTTGTGCATGACTCTGTAAAATCAAAGCATAATGCTGTGTGAGAATGGATTCACGTTAACAGATGCAATAATAATCAGTAACACATTAAATAAAGTGAATTTCATCCATCATAAGAAATGCATGAGTGAGATCATACTTTTCTAAATAAACCCTTAGCAGGTTTAATGTTTAAATAAAACCACTTTACATAAGGTCAGCTTGATGTATTGGCAGCTATATATCAAAGCGGTGAGCCCTTAGCCTTTCAGGGTCAAGTGCGAGCTATAAACTGACATGCTGGGATCAAACTCATCCAAACACTGCAGGGCCTGTCATGACATTTAACAAATGAAATAAACACAGTCTCAAAGGGGATCCAGCATCATTTGTTTTGCCCCCTCCCTCTCTCTCTGTGAAGTCTGAGGACGGAAAATATGACTCTAACGTGGAAGCATGAAGGTGAAGAGCAGAGCGTGTTGTCAAACATGTCCCGTCTGTCCTCCACGCTGAGTTATGGGACAAGGTGCTTTAATAAGACAATATGAGGGACTGGAAATGTACAGTTCTCTGTCTTGCGTTGTCTGCCTCCCTCGCTGTAAACGACCCGGCGATGAGATGACGGATGGCGGTGTATCAGAGAAAGAGATTTTCCCTCACTAAAGACCCTGACCCCGACTCCCCCTCTATGTCCACCTCCTCATTTTTTTCTCTCATTGATCATGTGGCTCATCTCTTTGTTTTGTGGCGCTTCTCCCCCTGCACATTTAGTTTTTTCTCACACTTCCTCAGTCTCCCTCCTGACCTTTCTATTATTTTGCATATTTGAAAAAAAGTGAAGTAATGCAGGGTTGACTGAGGTTCAGCTGGAGTAACCTTGACCACTGTGACTATTCATTAGCATGTCTTTCTCCCTTAGGGGGACAAAGCTAATGGAAATACTGAAAAGACCCCTCTCCCCAGGCAATAGCACATGTTACCTTCTTGGGGTAAAGTGACACAGCCTCCTCCCTAACCCCTGTCTAACACTCGGCCCTCTGCCTTCACCCCGCCTTTACCTCTGCCTCACCTCTGTTGCTTTATTCCCGCTCCACAGGGGTCGTTATTCAAACAAACTGTCATCGTCTGCCTTAAAGGAGAACACTGCGGTTGGAGAGGTTCCCCTGTTCTGCTTATCCGTTACGTGATGACATCAGAGGCACACATTAATCTATGTGTCTCCTCACGGTTCTATCCAACCAAACTATTTTACCATTCACAATTTGTGTAGTGTTTATCGTCATGTCGAGAAGAAACAAGTGTATTTTCTTTTATTGTATTGTTTTAGGATTTGTTTATACTTTTGATTTCATTATTCCAGCAATAACTTTTTATTTTTAGAACTCAAAATCACAAATATTGTCTCTGAAGGTTTTAGAGTCTGCACAAAATATGACCTCTTCCACCCTTTGACTCCCAATTAGAAGAAAGACAAAAGGGACATGGTGGTTCAAAACAATACTTTAAAAAAAAAAGTTTTTAGTCAGTTTTGTATGTATATTTAGAAAAATTATACTTTGATTAAAGTCCCTTTTTTAAGTTGGTTTAAAAAAACACTTTTTTATTTGGAAAACTAATAATTATTTTCCTTGTGAATTAATCAACAAATATTTCTTTAGATTAATCGAGTCACAGTCACAAACAAGATAGTTAATTAAAACAATTACTATCACTACTAATCAAATTAGTTGAAGATTATTTTTATGACTAATCATCTCAGGATTACATTTGATCATACTTAAAGGAGAGGTGTCATGGCCATTTCCACTGATCATAATTCCATTGTTGAGGTCTACTAAAATAGATTTATACTGTGCAATTTTCCAAACTCACATTGGTTTCTCATACAGCATCTCTGTAAACTACTTGTATTCACTGAATTTCACTCTCTGCCTTTAACGGCTCGTTGTAGCTCCAAAAGCTCCAGCCCCCACCCTCCCTGTGAGCACAGTGTGCTCTGATTGGTCGGGACGTTGTGAATCGCGCTGAGCTCCGTGGAGGTGTTGTTTCCTTGTTTAGGATACATAGCGAAACACAGCCAAACTCATCCTGAGCACACACAAACTCACATCCGAAGTAAAAACAATAAGTGTGGCTTGATATTGAGTAAGAAAAAGGTTGATAAACGCTGTGAGAATGGGTCTGCAGAGAGAATTTTGCCGCGATCCCAACTGTCTGTTATCAGCCTGCAGCCAGGGAGGAGAAATCAGCTGAGCTGCCTGCTCCCTGCACACAGATGTGTGTGTGAGGAAGTCCGTGGATTGGTCAATTTGGACCAATCAGCGGGAGCTTAACGTAACGGCTCCGCGGATTGGTCCATTTCGTTCCGGGTACGGCTTGACATCATGCCGTCCCGGAAGAATCAAATGGACAATGACGTATCTCCAACGAGGCGTTTTGGGGAGGTATTTTCTGTGTTAGAGTTTTACTCGCTATAGGGTGTACTTTGAGGGTTTTGACTCTGCACACCGTTTACATGCATAAAAACCTTCATAACACACAAGGGGACGGGTAATAACCGGAAAAGCATGACACCTCTCCTTTAAAGTGTGCTTTTATATGCTGATGTAAAAGCAACATAAATATTCATATGTAAAGACAATCTGCTGTGCTGTCTTTATTTTTAACCTACATGTGGTTCAAAATCCACACAACATGTACAGTACAGCCTCACACACCACACATACAAACATGACAGTGCATGTCTGTGTGCTGTCCTCCATCCCTTCACACTGTGATCCTCACTGGCCCTCTCTGTGTAGCCCACATTAGCTCCTGATCCCGGCTCAGTACAAGCAGAGCTTTGTGTGCGTCAGCTCTCCTCTCCTCTCCACACTCACAGCACGTCCAGGAGGATCTTCCATAAATCAGCCCCGCAGACGGAGGAGCGTGGCCCTGGCTTTAGAAGCAGAGTCACTCGTCTCCGAGCTACCAGACATTCATCATGAACGCAGTCCAGCGCCGTCCCACTGCACAGAGATGCTCTCACAGCTGCCATTGTTTCCAAGAGGAATGGACTGTGCCTGAGACTTTTATTGAAAAAGGATCCTACTGGACAGTAAATTGAATCAAGAGAAAAATGGCAACAAGTGCGAATACTAGGCCCCACGACAAGCTGTGACCTCGTCTCCCATTACGATGCACCTAATTTAACACAATATCACCTTTCCTGTCAGATAGGCCCCCGTCGGTTATTTATGCCTGAAGGGACAAACACAGCCAGTACTCTTGAGTATAAAACTGTACTTTTTACACATGCTTTTGAGGGGTCACTGTTGAACACTTCCTTACTGAGTATAGTAGTTTGGAAGCTAGGACTTAAAGACACTAATCATGATCAATAAAAGTCTTTGTGAGAACCTCCAGAGAAGACAATGGGTTTTTTTATTTTCTAAACAGCATGTCCAGTAGCCCACCCTGATTGTAAATGCATTGCATCTCTTGTGTCCTCTCTTTAGTTGTCCAAGGAGTTGGAAGGGAAATCAGCCAATGGAGAAATCAAAGAGCTTCTCCAACTGCTGGCCAAACCCCACGTGAAGGTGAGTCTATATTCATTTAATACAAATGTAAAGCTGCAAGCACAGTATGAAAATATCAGGCAGTTCTGGCTTCAGCACACTAAATATTTGGCTCGTATTCTAGCTGATGTCATCACACAAACATCTTGCATCACTGTTTGTTCAAGCGATGCAATTACCATGCCGTACACAAAATAACATGGCGTATAGATCCAGATTTTCTTGCTTTTTTGGCTGCGTCCGCTTGCCTCGTTATCCAGACACATACAGCTTCAGAATGAATTTACACACTCTGATTTTCTAATGTATTACTGGCCATCCATCAGGCCCTGCAGGTGTCTCAGCCAGACAGAGCTGCATTCGAGACGGGTGGATTAAGAAGGAGAACTGGACGCGTTCCTTCTTTAACGCTCTGTCGTCATGCTTGTTTGGGCTCTGCCAGAAACAACAGCTCCGTATGAAGTCCTGTCCCGACACAATACACACATATTAACAGCACAGTGCATGCAAATATTCAATCCCTCTGACTGTCAAGGGTTGTGAAAAGACAGGGGTTCCCCAAAAGGATCAGGGTTACAAGTCAAATCAACATGTGGTTTTTTTCAATGTCTACGCTTGTGATGTCATGATTAATTTCTTAAATGAAAACAATATAGTTGCATACATTTTTGGAAAGATTGACCCATACAGTAGTAAGGAATGGGAATTGAGTTAATCACACTTAACCAGCAGTCAACACACACAATCCCACTCGGTGTTGGAATACACACAGCCAGAATCCGGAAGACAAACGGTCCCAATCTATCACAGCTCTGCTCTCCCACTTTGTTACATTGGGACACCGTGACCTCCTTTGTCTCTGTCAGCCCCGGAGTGAAATGTGCCGGCAAATGATCACAGCACCCGCCATGAAGCATGCCTGTGTCAGAGATCCCACGTTTATTATTTTAATTGCATTTACGTCGAAGGTATTTGGCGATGCAACGATCAATCCATCAAAACTCGTGACTTTCGGAGCTTGTGAAAGTCATCGATCAGGAAGCTCGGCAACTTCCACTGATGAAGCGAGGAGAGGTGAAGCCAGGAGTAAGGGACGGCAAGCCAGGTGCACACTCATGCAGACACACAGGCCAACGCAATGTCTTTAAAAACTTTTAGCCAGAGGCCAACAAGGCTTATATTATATAAAATTAGATGCTCCTATGATTACAAGGATAATACCAAACATTTTATTTATGGTTTTGAATTACGTGTTGAATACGTCACCCTCATTTCTTTTGTTATTCCTCAATATGTATGAAGTGGATAATGGATAAAATGAGAATCTCATCAATTTTGTATCCAGACCAGTGATTTCTTCTTCCATACAGTATTTCTACATTTGGTGTTGGTACAGTATGACAATTACGACAGCCTTTTTTTGTTTAGGATTTTTGTAATTTACTATAAGAGTGGACATAGGTTTTTCTATACAATGGTAATACATTTTTAATCATGGTGCTGTTAGTTCACACAGGTCCATGCCTCCCTTCGTGTGGCAAGCAGGAAAGAAAACTTTTTTTGCCCGCAGTGAACATTTTGTTTTCGGATTGAAGCCATACATGTTGGAACTGTTTGGATCACACAAGAAACAATCCTACACAGCCACTGCTGTAATCTAATTCTAAAAATGGTATAATATAAAACATTTTTGTCTAGTTTCACGTGCACAGCTTAACAGACGTTAACACAATGAATAGACATGTAAACATAGCAAATCTGTGCGGCTATCGAATGTTGATCTAGAGTTTCGATGTCGACATTATCAATGAATCTTCAAAGTTTTCAAATTGGTACAGCCCTAGTAATTAGATGTACATTTCCATCAGTTACCAAATAATTATTGGGTCACTTATGGGAAGTCTTCTCTATTAACCTCAATTGAATTCAAACCTGTCACAATCAAATTAGAGAAAAATAAATGTGAAATCTGTGGCGCCACTTTTCCACCGCTGCATTGTTACAAAATCCTCTATCTGACTTCAGCTTTTTCTATCAAAGTACAATTGACTTGTTGTCAGTCTTTTCTATTTTTATTTCTTTATTCATTGCTGTTCTTTTCTCTCACCACCTCCATACGCTTCTCAACCAACCTGAGCTTTAGTGCTGAACAAGGTCAGCCAAACAATGAAAAATATTCAGCTGCTCCTTCCTTTACTGCTGGCCGAGAGCACTGTCAGAAGCACAGAAGCAACTGAGGCCAAGGGAGACGACCCGTAGTGCGCTGGACTCATCACTGACCTAAGACTACAACAAAGATTTATTTCAAACGTATCACGGCTATGAGATGCCGAAGAAAACACCTCGTAGATAATACACGAACAGACTCTGTCCATCAAAACATCAAAGAAAGTTTGAGTTTCTGGATCTTCTTTGTTTGATGTTCAATGAGTTACTCGCCTTAGTGTGTTTGTTTTAGATTGAAAGCATCACACTCAGAGTTGTCAAAGTGAGCTATTGACATCTGCATGTGTTCACACACATGCACAGTTTTCTCTACCTCTCAACTTTACGACCTGGCTCTACTATTTCGTGTTGGTTCAGGTTTTGAGCGCCTGAAACTTGAATGCTCTTGCTGGAACACTCGCTCAACAATAGATTAATTCCAGCACCAAGGTTAGGAGGGAAGGCTTTCACTGTGAATGTGAGGCTCTTGATGTTCTCCTGACATGGTGTCTAAAACCGTAGGCAGCATGTGGGCTTCAAGAATTCCAAACTTTGCTCTCTTTCTGTCTCCATCTGTCCTCCAGGGCACTTGATACCGTACCAGCCAACCCGAGTGTAAATCACAGGTCCGGGGGTGTAAAACACAAGCAGATGGTTGCAGCCTTTGAATGGCGTCTCTGTACGATAGTAACTGTATCACTCTTAATTATAGCTGAAATGATCCATTCCTAGGGTGGGGATATAAATCAGACTCTTTAAAACTCCCCTCTCTTCCTTTCTCTTCCTTGCCTCAAACTTTCTCTTTTACGATTTGCACATGAGAAAACAACTTTTACCCGTATTAGCCCCCCTCAGCAAGACTAATATTGACAGTGATGAAAGTGCCAATTATGATGGCCGGCTGTTTCCGGCGGTGTGTATGAGGGACGATGTGTATACACGCTCGCAGTATGTGTTTGACTCGGGGCGGTACGTGCTGAGGTTCAAGGCTTATGGAGGGTGGGCGCGAGTGTCAAATCCCAGCTGGCCTACAGCAGCGTCTCAGAGGCAGAACGCAAACAGCAGGGTCCTTCCCGCCTAGGTAAAGCAGTTACCCCGCACCAATAGCAGCTGAAAAACGAGTGGGCCCGTGACAGGGCCTGGGGGGCCTTAATGAGAGGCCAACACCAGGAATGTACCAGCAGGTTTATTTAGTCAAGCTCAGTGATCTGTTTTTCTAGTATCCCTATTATGCCTAATGAACACAAACACGTGAACCGAGAAAGGACGGGATGCCTGGAAAACAAGGGTGGCTTCGTTGCCCTTTATCTTTCAATCTGTCCCTCACTCTCTTTTCTGCTCAGCAGGGCCTATAAAAGGATATAGATTTGATTAGGCAGCTAATTCACTGACACCGAGGCATAACAAGACCCACTGACTCATATCAACCCAGGAAGAAAGCTTCCATACAGAGTGTGTTAAACATTTGTACCTGTGTAGCTGTACTCGTATGTCAACGGTCACCAGCCAGGGCATGTACCATGTGCTATCTATTAGCATGCATCTGTTATTGCTACTTCCTAGAGAGTTTTTACAAGGAATTAGCTGTGGCTCTGTTACGGGTTGTTAGGCATGGCCATGGGGGAGAGTTTGGCGGTGGGGAGCAATGCCAGATTTGAGGAAGTGCCATCAATAAGAGGACACTCACAATGAGGGATATTATGCCAAATGATGGATAGAGCTCAGAGGAAACAGCGACTGGCAGGTTAGTGGAGGAAAGGTTGAGGTGAGCCTGAGAAGGAGACAGTAGGGTTATTTGAACTTTGTAACTTTTACTCTGTTTTGTACATTTTCTATTCCTTTCTGCAACAACAAAGTTTCCAAACGAATAGTGTGTTTATCATTGAGTCTATCATCATGTCAGAATAAAGGGAAAGGTTTATTTATTTTCCAAATCACCTTTGATCAACAAAAGTCCATAATCCAACCTTTTTCAGTTTGCTCCGATAGAAAACAGAAAAAAACAGCAATGTGTCATATTTGACAAGCTGGATCCAGAAAATGTTTATTTAAATGACATGATTTGTGACTTGAACAGTTGAGTTTGAGTTGTATTTATTTACACAGGTTAAATCAGACAAATTAATTGGCTGATTGTCAATCAACTAATTGAATGACAAATTGTTTCAGCATGAGCCTATTCTCATTCCAGGCACTAATGGTGGACAGCTCAAACAAATCACTGCTTTTCTGCTTCCCGGGCACCAGGCCTGCATGGGAGTCACACCCCGCCGAGACACTGATAGACGCCTGTACTACGACTGACAGTCAAACACCATAAAGAGAGCCACAACACCACATGTATCCAACCTCAAACTCAAAAATTCTTCCCCTTTCTCCGAGTTAGATGTCACGGCACAGGCTGCCTTTCAACAAAGGATATTTTCATAGTATTTGATACAAGGGCAAATTCAAAATATATTTCTCATACCCCCTGTGGGAGAAAAAACGGAGAAAAATAAGTAAAATAAAACAGGATTAGAGATGGTGGCCGCAAAGTCAGAAGCGTTCTTCTGTCAATATTTGCCCTGTGATATTTTATTCAGCTCTGAATGAAGAGCTACTTTCATTCACTGGCTGTGTTATAGAGTCATGTATTTTCACATAAACCTTCGAATGGTCAAATCAGTGCACTGCAAATCTTGGTCCATACCATTAAATTGTGCTACGAATATAATACATATGTTAAACATTGAGCACAGGTTTGGGATTCATTCTGTTTACTTTATTTTCCTCATCTGCAAACAGTTTTGGTTTTCTGCGTTCCAAGAGAATAGTTCAATACTATAATGACAGCATCCACTGTCATAAAATACTACACAAGGCGTGTGTTTATGTACAGTGCGGATGAATCCCAGGAACACATTGTTCGGCCTTTCCGAAAAATGAACAAACTGATCCCAGGAACATATTGGTAAAAAAATACATGAAAGATTAAATTGAAGAAGAGCAAACAAAAGAGTTTTATGGCATTTTAGAGGAAGACTGAAGACACCTAGAGTAACTACGGACCAAAGATAGAATTACAGGTTACATTTAAGAGTTTTGAGTTACAGCCTTTTGTTGGGTACAAGTTGAAATCAAACATTGGGTCAGGAAGAAAAATCAAAGTATTAAAATCTTACTTTTTTGGGTGTCCCCAGGGTTTCTATAGGTTATAATAAATTGTATTGTCAATGTTTTCATCGTTCCCCTACGTTTGACTAACCCAGGGATTTATTAAAAGCTGGTTTGATTGCCAGAACGCTAGGGTTACTTGCCTGGATATACTTATTTTTACTGATGTTTCCATGTTCTTAGATCACAGAAATGAACTTCATTACATTTTCTTATCGGCCAATTTATGCCTTTGTTACAAATTGGAAAGAGATGACAAGAAATTAGAGGAGGGGGAGATGGAATAACTTGCAACAAAGGTCCAGGCCAAAGAGTGCCCTATGTTTACAATGTTATACATTCAGATAGGAATAATGACTACAAAAGTACAAAAGTAAGACACATGTTTTAAAGGGGTCCTATTATGCTTTTGGGGGCATCTCTAAGTGGTTGACCAATCACAACAAAGCTGGCTAGCTAAACAATCAGAGCAGACTGGGCTCTGGTTTCAAACAGAGGGTGAAAAGAGGTGCTGCTACAGCAGTATGAGAGATCTATTTGAACATTAAAGCATGTAATCATGTCACAGTAGAGGCACAAATTACAAATATGAAACCTGAAAATAATCATAACAGGGCCCCTTTAATAAACCTGCATTATACTTTAAAGGGGACCTATCATGCAAAATGCACTTTTGCACGTCTTTTATACATGAATATGTGTCCACGGTGTTCCAGGGAACTCACCAAGTGTCAGAAAACACAACCCTCTCTATTTTCCTCCATACCCAAATCTCTAAAAAAGGGGCTGCAACGGATCTGATAAAAACTGATCCAGATTTGAACACTGTCCTGACGTCAGGACGGTGGCGCTACGGCTATTGGGCCAACTCCACCAATCAGGAGGAGACAGCCACGGCCATTGCCGTTCGAAAGCGCTGGAGACGCTGTAGTACATATGCCAGGCCTGTAAGTGGCGCTGTAGTCTGCCACAAAGCAGCGAAGAAGACTTCCCGCCCATAGTTACCATGGTTACCCTTCTGTTTATTCTCCGCTGTGGCTTTTTTTCTCCCTCCCCGAGGCAAGCGTTTGCTCCCGCTGCAATGCAATCCCTCCCCGTCGAGGCAAGCACTGTAATTCTCTCCGGTTAGTCCACCAGCAGATGACAAACACCCACCTCTCCGCCTCTTCCAAGGAACGAGGGGACCGTGCGGCAGAGTTTCAGTTTCAGTTTGTTTCGCCGGTCAAGATGTCCGTTAAAGTTTAAATCTTCCGGACAAAATTAGAAAAGTGCCGGTCAAAGGTCTTCTTTGTTATTTATTGAACTTTAAAACAAATGAATAACGACTCTATATAATAAAACACGTAGGACGGAGATCTCTTTTTCTCCCCCTCTTCTGACAGCCCAGCAGCTGATCAGAGCACGTCTCCCCTCTCCTGCAGGGGGGCGTGGTCAGCAGAATCAGACCCGTAGACAGCAAACAGCACATAGAGCGAAATGAGGCATGGCTAAAATGCATGATCTGTTTGGTATTTTGAAAACAGAAACGTATAAATATACCTTATATAGGTATGGCCCTACAATATATCATTTAAATATAGCATGATAGGTCCACTTTAAGTTTAGCACTAAGAGAAAAAAATGATGCAAGTCAAGACAAGACAAACTCTGTGTGTGTCAGCCTGTCTCTCAGTGGATCCGGGCCACAGAGCTCCAGTTGTGTCTCCTCCTCTCATCTGCTCCCAGTTAGCAACATCTTGAACGCTGTACTGCAGCATGCTCCCATGTCATAAAACACACTGCTCCTCTTCTCACCATATCCTTCTCTCTCTTTCTCTCTCTCTCTCCCCCTCTATACTTTTGTCTGGCACACGCGGTGGAAGATGTTTTTCTCACTTTTCTCTCCCCTCTCCTCAACCACGGAAAAAGCAGCACGCGTCCAGCTGTATCTTGGTCCGGACATGGAGTCGTTAAATAGTTTGAAAAATGAACGTCTCAATGGCATCATTCTTGTCTGCGTCCCGTCTCTTTTTCATGTCTGCTCATGAACGTGCGAAATATCCTAGGCCACTGAGAACTTCATTACTTTGAGCTTGCCGACGAACAGCACAGAACAACGCTTCACCACTTTGCCCTAAAACGCTTCGGTATTATAAACCATTGCCAAGGTTGCCCCCCCCCCCCCCATACCCTTTCACTTATGGTCCCTGGTGAGCATTGGTCCGGGTGACTGCTGGTGGCCTTTAATCAGAGAAATGTATGTTGGGAGAGCGTGGGGCTAATGGCAATTAATGCATGTAGCTCCAACTCCTGGCTCTGAATGCGTTCATATTCATCACCCAGCATTTTAGGCGGACACTTCAATTTATAATCATCCTCCCTGCAGTTGTTTCTAAGAAAGAAATGATGGATTTAACTTTTAATAGCATGTTTTGCTAGACTTTATTTGGCTAATTAGACTAAGGTAAAAGCAAAGGCCTTTATGTTTTGACTCTTATTTCTTTCCTCCAATTTAATCCCTCTTTCCCTCTCTTTCTTTCTCTAGAGCCTCCTGTCGGTCCACGACACTATCGCCCAGAAGAGTTACGACCCTGAACTACCTCCGCTGCCTGAAGACATTGACGAAGATGAGGATTCTGTGAAAATCATTAGACTGGTCAAAAACAAGGAGCCTCTCGTAAGTAACAGTTTTCCTATGATATTGTGTGTTTGATTTGCACGTCGTGGTTTTCAGCAGCTCCCAGAAGTCTGAAAGATGGTTTTGGGAAGTTAACAGATTGTAAAAATGATGTCTTTGGGGTGCCCTAGTGGCCTGGGTGTAAAAGCTTCCACCATAGGCCTCAACATTCCCGAATAGAGCCAAGGGATGCTAAAGACTTTTTGTTGCAAACTGTTTCCCAATCAAGTTTTTTTAAACACTAAAAGAAACCATGTCGTCAAAATAAATGATCATCAGGTTCTTTATCATTTCTGGTTAACATATTTGTGTCACTATAATCCTCCTATCTTGCTGTTGTTTACTTCGTTTCTGAACACACTTCTCGTACCAAAGCAGCATCCATCCCACAAGGCAAGCCAATACCATACATGCTTTTGAGGTACTTGCCTGTGGGAATCCAACCCACAACCTTGAAGTTGTAAGCACACCAAAACCGACCGCAATTACCCTGCTCTTGGCCATGAGTATTTTCAGCCAGTCTAGGCTCACTGTCTGCGAACGGCTTCCCCTTTTCTATCCTGGTCAGTGTTGCTCTCTCATTGTAACATGCTTCTCACGTCCGTGCTCTTCAGACACCGTCCCAGACGTCAACACCCACCCGTCTCTGTTGGCCTCTGGCCCAATCTTTATTGCAGTGACATCTTGGGCTGTTTGTGTCGTTTGATGGTTTTTATTCCATGCATTTCCCTGCTCTTGTCAGCCAATGCTGCACATTTGGTAATGGGCTTCTGTAACCCCACCAAACCTAATTCCCGCTGGCTTCACCTGATACCTTTACATTTCTTCATCTTTGTCGCCTGATAACTTACGTTTTGCCATTGTTTTGATTCACTGACTGACCTCAGTGCCCTAGCACATATGTAAACCCTCCTCTACTCAAGCTCTTGACCTCCATCTGTCATTGAAGCACTTTGTTGTGTGCTGAGGCCCCGCCCAGCTTTGATCTATGCCGGACGTTTCCTGGCCCCGGCCGCCTCTATTTTCACTTTGTGGTTTTCACCCTAACCACCATCTTGGCTCCAGGCCGGCGCGCTCCTTTCACCACACCCCTGGGGAAGGAGAACACACCTAAACCATTTTTGGGTTGTTGCCTGTTGCATGTTCTGCGGAGCTGCTGAACGTAATAATGTGGCTAGCAGGAATTCTCGCTCTCCCGTTTGAACACACATTGTCCCGGGCGCTTCCTGTTCCGGCCTCTCCTGAGTCTTGTGATGTTGGATCACATTCCCTGAAACCATAATGTGATTTACACCCGCCCCAGTCAGCGTAATCATCTAGCCGGTGTTATTCCATTACACGGCTTGATTCTTTTTTGTTTCAGTAAATTTGGCTCCTGAGGACATCTGTAACACACGTTTACGATGTGTAATGCGTGGTATTGTACAACATTGAAGGTGTTAATTATGCAGAATACATTTTTCTAGTAATATAGGGAATGAGTTACAATTTATAGGTTAAGGGTGCACACTGGTTATTGTGTGTTTTCAAAAACTTAAATAGAGAAGGTGCTGTGCCTCCGGGGTTCTTTTAGAGGTCAGTTTTATAAATACTTGTTCAATTTAAAAGTGGTTTTATTTAATGTGGGTTTTCAAATGCAGTATATCATCAGTATCACCGCAATATTGTTGAAATGGCCAGTATGCTACATTTAATTCTGTTTAGTTTGTTGATGCAGAGCAGGCTACACAAATTGATTCATAGCAGGCAATCAAGCTATGATTACTCCCAACCTGCATTTGAAAAGACAGCTTTTTCTTAAACGTAACACCAATAGCCACCAAATTTGCTTTTGCAACTACAATAATTACACAGACCAATTCACACTCTACAATGACATCTTACACAACTGGTGAGCAACTGGAAGTAGCACTTTACTGAATGTGTTTCTTTCGTGCATGTCTTAGTTGCCCTCTCACTGCCCATAGGACCCACAATCGCCTGTGGCTATAGTTAGGCCTGACGTGATGTTGACAACCGGCGAATTCTTCTACAGGCCATACTTTTCCTATGTATGCATGAAAGAAAACAAAGAATTATAAAGGCCTGCTATTATGGTATCGAGCAATCTCAAAAATGTCAAGTGTGATGGTTTTCTATTTTTACGTAGGGCACCAAAACAAGATCAACTTGAATCCCCTTAGAAGATTAGGCTTCTTTTTTTCGGCAAGAGTTTGCAACCTTTGAAAAAGAGTTCCATCATTCCAGTCATATGTACACACCTTTGGTCAGAACCTATGACTCTTAAGTCCACTAAAGAATTAATGTGTCTCGAGAGAGTACGACTTGCATTTGTCAAATTGTTCCTTAGGGAATAAAGCTTTAGTAATGTAGACTTTCAAGAAAAAAGTGGGACTTCTACATTTTGTACTATATTTTACTGTGTAGCTAAAGGCCTTTTCACACCAAATATATATATTTTTTCCCCACATGTACATGTCTATTGTTTTCTCAACAATCCTTTACCTAGTAGTTTTACACTAAAGAACCAGTACCACCATATGTTCACATCATACAACTTTTTCAATACAGAAAGCTTTTTTTGTATTGATTATGAAGGTTTTAAACTTAAAAAATGCATAATAACCAAACTGGCTCTGAATGAAATTCTGCTCCAGCAGAGCAGCTCCTAATACCACACACAAACTGAAAATGTGCTGACATTTGTCAAAGATTCTGCACAAATTGTGAAATTGCTCTTGTTACTTTGCAATTTGTGAAGGTGAAGTTACTTTATTTGTGTGACCCTCTAATTAGACATGAAATGAGAAGGTTATCCATCTACCTCTGGCCCCTTAACGGTTGTCATCATGTCCATCTTTGAAGGGAAACTGACCCTAATGAACAGTTACAGTAGATCGTATATTAAGGAAACAACCTGCAGGTCAGATGCTGAAAGTGAAATCACAGCAATTCACTAACCAATGAAAAACCCTCTAATTGCGAATGTTCCTCATTCAGTGCCGCACCAAATTGATTTGGATGTGCCCTTTAACTCCTAATTTCATATAATCAGCCTAAAATTCGCAATCTCCACATGATTACAATGCGGCTATACAATATCTAATTTCTTTTCCATCCCTCCTTACTTCGCCCTTTTTTATTTTCTTGTTTTTTCACTATCTGCCTTTGTCTCATTCTACACTTTTGTAGGGATTGGGCTGTGGTTAGCATGCAGACCCCTTTCCTTGTGACTCATCCATTTAGTTAATTGTGATTAGTTGAGCGGATTGTATTCAGTAGCTCTGATTAATTACTATCATTTCTTAGAGCCTGACTTCATGCGACATTTCAGTGGAACTAAAAACTCTATCTTCCAGGACAAACTCCCCCCTTCTTCTTCCCCCTCTTTCTGTTGTACTCTCTGCTCTCCCGCTGCTCTCAAACCGGCAGATTTATTAGCTCAGGTGTCAGGACATTGAAATAATTGGGTTTGGAGAGCGGCATAAACATGTGCGCGCATACAGAAACATCAGCTCAGCCATGTCTTTTTATTAAAAGAATGTGTTATTTTGGATAGGGTTTCAGAACAGTTTTGGTGGGGAGCTAAATTTGAGCGTTACGGGGGTTGCGTCAGTGCGGAGTATGTGTTGGTGTTGCTGATATACTGGTGAGGTTTTCCTCCGGTGATGAAGGGCTTGAATGCAGACTGACAAATAGGAGAACTCAGAGTTGGAGTCAAAAGTTGGAGGAAGTTACAATGCACTGGTGTCCCACAACTCATCCAAAACTAAAAAACACAGGAGCTTGGAGGATCGAGAGAGGCCTAAAACATGAGCTACAAATATGTCCCCCAAGTTATATAGTGTTACATATTTCATTATTGTTAATACAGCTTTAAATCACCAATTTCTCTAGATTTAAATGTCATTTTTATTGGTTCAAGTGTAGTGAGATGCCAGATTTTAAACATTTGTGATCATAAGTGTTCGAGTTGCTGGCTGAAGAACTTAATTGACTTGCACTGCCATGTAGGAGTTGCATGGTCGTCCCAGAGCATTATGGAAGATCCCAATCTCCACACACACAAAATGTGTTGAGTAGCAAAAGACGATTTTGAACGCCCACAGCAGGGTACACCGCAGCTGCTCCGGGCGACCATCGGTATTATGTGAGAACATTCGAGGCTGTCAAGCCCGCTGTGGCCGGCTCTGTTCCTCTCATTTGGATGTTCTGGAAGTCCAGTGACGCAGATGTAAATAGCAGACTTTGAGATGCTCGCCGCGCACGCCCCACTGTTTGTGAGTTTGTTTTATACATCACTTGACGGCCTGCTCAATGTCACTCAGTCGGTGGCGGCTCTCATCGCTGTCAGAGTAATGTTCATACTCTTCTCCCACTCAGTTCATCCTAAGTTGTCCTCCTACTAGCACACAGTGTTTCTATTTCTCCAATAGTCTTTTGCTAGAAAGTAATTTTCTTTCACCTGGTTTTGCTATTTGGTACATAACACATCTTATTTGAGTTGATATGAGGACATTATTGCTTTTAAGATGCAACAACTTAATGATAGTGCCTTTCACTTCAAGTAGAGCTACACTTTTACTTCCCTTTTTCTATATGAACACCTGCAGTTCAGGAATGTAGAATTATAGATGCACCTCTCTACAGTACTGTTTCGCATTTGTACGAAATCCTCATCTTCGGTGCAAAACTGACACTCTATCCATCCCTCTTTCACTCACTTCTTCCATCCCAGGTTGTTCGGCATCATTAGCAGCCATAAAACCTCCACTGCCAGGAATGTGACAGGATCCATGTCAGGATCTATCACTCTCCTTCCTCTCCACTCTCCATTTCTTATTGCTCTGTTGTTTCCAATTATGACTGGGTGTCATCGGGTACAACTGAATGGAAACTGTAGACTGTAATATTCGTGCCATCCAGTTGGCAATGCCAACACCTTCCAGCCTGGCACCAGCTACCACCAATCAATACAGATATTACATTACTGAGCCCAG